ATCTTAGCACTTAGAAAGCAGAAACAGGCAGATCTCTGTGAGTTCTAGGACTACAGAAAGCTTCTCTTTTCCCTCTGTTTGCATTGTGAGATAATACACATGAAAACAATAGATATTTTTAAGTTGTCTAGCTTTCTGAGACCAACAGTAATTATGCCTGAAGTGTATCTGTATGACCTATATTAACCGTACCACTCAAGCTAAATCTCTCTCTCTCTCTTCCTTTCTCCCTCCCTCTCTCTCACATACACAGAAAGAGTGAGTGGGAGGGAAAGAGAGAGAGAGAGAGAGAGAGAGAGAGAGAGAGAGAGAGAGAGAGAGAGAATGTCACAGTAGCCCATAATGGCCTAGAACAGGAAATCCTCTAGCTTTAGCCCCCTAAGTGTTGAGATTTTAAACACAGACTATTATTGCCATTGCTTTGTTTTGTTTGGTTTGGTTTGGTTTTGAGACAGAGTCCTACTATGTGATAACCCTCACTGTCTTGGAACTCACTATATAGATCACAATGCCTGCTTCTGACTCCTGAATACTAGGACTAAAGGCATGTGCCACCAGGACTCGTGACTCTTTTTGCTTTTGTATAGGGTAAGACATGGATGATTTTGTATCTGATTTCATAAAAGAATATAATTTTCACAATGATAATTGCAAATAGAGTCATAAATATAAATTATATGGCTGGTTCTCTAGTTAGAACTACAAACTGATTTTTTTTTGAAAGTCATAAAAGGAGTTAGGCATAGTAGCATATTCTTATAAGCCCAGCACTTGGAACTGAATCAGGACTGCACAAATTCTGTACAGTCAGACAGTACAACTCTTATTGACTCCTAGTTTAGTTGAGGAATGAACAAAATGTTAACCATGGATGCAAATACAAGTTTTCTCACACAAGCACAATGTATTTACTTTAACACAATACCATGAGATATTATCAGCTCTCTAGGATTCTGGCTGATACGGTAAGTATAAAGTCCAAGCCAGCAACAGCTGAGCATTTTAGCTGTGAGTCTGTATTTACTTTATAACACTTTTTGGTGGCTTTCTTTCCTTGCTGTATAATTTTTGCATTATTGTGTTGTTATGAAGCAAAGGCGGAGTGGATTCTCCATCTGTGGCAAGGAATCAGCAATAACAGTGTAGAGCTCTGCCTCAAACTCACTCACTATGTAGATAAAGATGACCTGGAGCTCCTGATAATTCCTGCCAGTACCTGCCAAATGCTGGGATTCTGGGTATGCATAGCCAGCTATTTTGTTACTTCTCACTCAGGAAACACAGAATGGATTTTCTTGTTGTTGCCCTGGAAGCTTAAGTGGGAGGCACTGAGCCCTCTACACTACTGCAGCATGTATAAGGTGACTTGGTTGTGGAAGGACACGGGGGGGGGGGGGGGGGGGGGGGGGTGGG